CCTTTGTGGAGAAGGTTCGGCTATAGCAAAAGACCTCCTACGTGCTATTACTTCTGTGGTTAATCTATGGCTAGGGGGAAGATGCCCTTCGAGGTTGGCAGAATTTGTTGCCTCTGCTCCTCTCACGCCGCTCTTAAAACCTGACAAGGGAATACGACCTATTGCAGTAGGTACTATATGGAGACGTTTGGTTTCCAAGTTGGCCATGAAGGGGGTTGGTAAAGAAATGGCCAAATATCTCAATGATTTTCAGTTCGGAGTCGGGGTGTCGGGTGGCGCTGAGGCCGTTTTACATAGCGCCAATAGGTTGTTGAGTGAGCGCCACGATGACAAATCTCTCTCCATGCTTACCGTGGACTTCTCTAATGCCTTTAACCTTGTTGACAGATCCGCATTACTTCATGAGGTCAGATTGAGGTGTCCCTTTATTTCCTTGTGGGTAGAATTCCTATATGGTCAAGCAGCAAGGTTATATCTAGGCAACACACATATTCGGTCTTCTACTGGGGTTCAGCAAGGAGACCCCTTGGGACCACTTCTCTTTGCCATTGTGTTGCACCCGCTCTTGCATAAGATTAGAGACAATTGCAAGCTTCTTTTCCATGCATGGTACTTGGATGATGACACACTTATCGGAGATTCGGAGGAGGTGGCCAAAGCATTGAACATCATTACGGTGATTGGCCCAAATTGGGCCTTCAGCTGAATATCAAGAAAACCGAGCTCTTTTGGCCCTCGTGTGATGGTAGGAAGTTACGGGAGGGGCTATTTCCGGCGGACATCGGGAGGCCGCCTTTGGGGGGTGAAACTTCTTGGGGGAGCTGTTAGTAGAGATGCTAGTTTCATTCGCAGCTTAGCCATAAAGAGAGCCGAAAACGCTGTGAATTTGATGCGCCTTCTTCAACAATTGTCTGACCCCCAGAGTGAGCTCCTTCTTCTTCGGTCTTGTATGGGTATTGCTAAGCTTTTCTTTGGGCTGAGGACGTGCCAACCCGTTCACATGGAGGAGGCGGCAATATTCTTTGACAATGGATTGCGCGGGGCGATTGAGGACATTGTGGTTTGTGGGGGTCCTTTCTTTGGTGACATACAATGGCGAATTGCTTCCTTACCCATTAGGTTTGGGGGTTTGGGTTTATACTCGGCAGTAGAGGCTACCTCCTATGCTTTTGTTGCCTCAAGGGCCCAATCTTGGGTATTACAAGACCACATCTTACGGGATAGCGGTATACATGGTATGGATTCTGATTATGACTGTGCCTTGGCATCCCTTCGCAACAAGCTTCCAGATTTTGACCTTAACAATTTTACTACTAAAGACACCGCCCCCCCCCCCCTAAATCCCAGAATACACTGGCGAGTGCCCTTTTTCGTAAAATTATCCAAGATATGGAAGTGCATCTCGACATGACGGCTCGGCAGAAAGCGGTTTTCCAGTGCTTACGTGCACCACATGCTCAAGATTTTCTTCTGGCTATCCCTATAGATGGGCTTGGCCAACACATGTCTCCTGTGGAGTATCGTACTATTCTCAAATATCAACTCATGATTCCCATATTCCCAGCTGACGAGATATGTCCTGTGTGTCGCAAGGCATGTTTGGACTCTTTTGGAGAGCATGCAGTTCACTGTAAAGAACTCCCGGGGTTCAAATACAGGCACGATATGGTTAGGGATGTTTTGTTTGACATATTCAAGCGTGCCGGGATTTCCGCTAAGAAAGAGGCACCTATTAATTTCTTGACTGACCCGACAGAAGGAAGGTCAACCCTCAGACCGGCTGACATTTTGATTTTTGGATGGGTCGGAGGGAAACACGCATGTGTGGATCTTACAGGGGTATCCCCTCTCGTAGGCCTGAGGGCTGGGGGTTTCACGGCGGGACATGCTGCTTTAAAAGCAGCTACAGGCAAAGTCACCAAACATGAGAAATCGTGCATGGAAAATCAACACGTGTTCATACCATTTGCATTTGATACGTTTGGTTTCCTCGCATCGGATGCGGTAGAGCTTCTTCAAGAGTACAACGAATCATGCATAGTAATGTTATATCCCCTAGATCTTCGGATGTAGTCTTTAAAAGAATTAGCTTTACCATTCAAAAAGGCTTAGCGGCACAGCTTGTTGCCCGTTTGCCATCTCACTCATTGTACGATGACAATTAAAATTTTATGGAAGCCATTTGTTAATATATATATATATATATATATATATATATATATATATATATATATATATATAATTTTGTTACAAAGTTCTCTTGTTTCTTTATGAAATTAGAAATTTACCTTGAATAAAATATGGAAATTAGCAGAAAGACCGGAATCGATAAATTAAGTATATTGCCACAATTCAAAAATCGGACGGAAATGTTAACAAAAATGCAGATCATTTTCGAATAGTTAATGGAGAAAAGAGATCATGTATATTATGTTTTAGCAAGATGCTAATATAGGAATGTACTACCTTTGTCTAATAAACATGAAACTATAAAAAGTAGACACACGGTAACAGTAACAGTAACACATACACACACTCACAAACACAATAACAATAACATCAATATACTTTCAGGATTGATACGTTAACGGTTTCATGTTTATTTTTTCAAACTTACAATAACCGATGGACGTTTTTTTGTGATTTAGCATAAAATTGGTGAGACCACTTGAAGTAATTCTTTATTAAATCCAAGATAAGTACATAAGACACACATAAATCACATAAATACACACAGGGAAAGTAATATAAAAACACATACATTAGCGAGTAATAGTATTTGATAAGAAAAAAAATATCATGGGCATTTTATCAAACACATAGAGTGCAACATCAAATGCAAGGATAAAAAGGCAGAAGTAAATGATTAAAAAAACTAATAGTAACATTTACAATCAAGATTAGTAAGGCCTTCATAGACCACAGTCAAATACAACACACATTCATGATAATCAAAAAAATTGAATACAATTAATAAAAATTAAGAACATCATATTAAAGAATTAACATGGATGGAGAATGAAGTGAAGAAGAAGACCATCAGTACTCGGATATCAACATCGTAATCATGCGAATAATAGTCACAACAGTAACCGAATTTATAGAGTGATTTCAATATGGAATTTATTCTGTCCCAAAAAAATTGGGATCTTATGTAAATATAGAGATTAACCGTTGAAAATAGATGATAATTGAGTCTATATATGGAAACTCTATCAATTTATTTCATTTTAAATTCAAATTGATGAGACAATTTGATGATTATCATAGAGTTACATATGAAAGCGTTCCGTTTACTAAATTGAAGAAAAAATGTTGCGAGGGAAAAATGGATACAGGAAAATAAGTAGCACGGGATGTGCATTTGGAATGCAAGAATGCTATGAGGAAAATAATGCAACTAATTCCGAGCAAAAGTGTTATAGAATCAATCTGGTTCGTGGTTTATACGGATTTCAAATAAGTTTTGTATTAAATGTTTGCTAGTAATTATATTTGTTTTTAAATTTTAAAAAAAAAAAACAAATCATAGAAAAATTACACATGTCAATTTTAGAGTGTTAAAGAAAAAAAAATTATAAGAAAATAACATGTGTCTAAATACGTGAGAAAGTTATAAATAAATAAATGAATTTTATTTATTATAGTAGATGTGAATAACATTTTTATAAGTTATCTAAAATCACAATATTAATTATTTGTTTCTTATGTTCTCATGATACTCTACTTTGATATAAGATACAACTTTTATTGTATATTTGACAAATGATTACCTTTCCATGTTAGAGGGGAGGGAATTTATCCTTTAGGTAGCCTCCTCATCTTTTTGCCACTTCAAATACTAAAACATATAATTAAAACGATAACCAAAATTCTAAAACAATAATTAAAATCTCAATACACAACTATTAAACATATGATATACAAGTTGAGAGAAAATAATAATAATAATAATAAATAAGAGTTGGAATATGAGAAGTGGTATCGGCAGTCCTCACAGCTTTATAGATATAAATTTGTTAGCAGATAAATTAAGACAACAAAAAAAATATACCATTTGGTTTGTTAATATAAATCAAATAAAAACCAAATTCAATGAGATATTATAGTTTGGTTTAATGAATATTGTAGAAAAAGCAAATGTAGATGGATGGGCATAGAGTAGGATGGTGAAGTGTCATACAAGTAGCCCACCCTACTTAATTACGCTCTGTCTCTCTCCTTCATTCATCTTTTAAAAAACGATTTCTTTTTTACTATGATAGTATTTACATTTTTGGTTTTTTAATCAACAAAATTTATGTAAACGTTTACTTTATCTGAGGTTTATTGTAAAGGTACGATTTTTTAACAGAAAATGATAACTAACTTATAAATAAATCATTAACTACCTAGCGGGTTTTATGAAAAAGAATAAAAACAATAAATTTTTCAAAAAAATAATGGAAATATATGGTTTTCTTTTTAAATGGCTATTGATAATTTTATTTTAATTTTATCTATTATCTTAGTACATATTTTTTTCAAACTTGATATTATCAAAAGCCCTAGCAAGATTTTCGAAAGCGAAAAAAAAAATCAATTGTACAATATGATATTGATTGAATTTTTTAATCAATCAACTCAGTTAATCACAAGTTTTCATTTCCTACTATCAAACCAATTAAAAAAAAGTGTCTAATATAATAATATCAAAAAAACATTTCCTTTCTATACTTTTCTCCAAACACCAAATCATTCCTTAAACAAGTAGTTCCCATTATCGATTCCACATCTTTCTTTTTCTTATCGATAAATATGACTTTATTCTTGACCAAATTAAATTTGGTGAACAGACCAAACAGCACCTTAACATGGCAAATTTATAAATGTAAATTAAATACAAATAAACCTACAATAATAGGTTCAGAAACCGACTTCCACAATTGAAGACAATTATAAAAGCAAAAAACAGATCCAAGAACTAAAAATCAAATGATAATCAAGATTCAACACAAATATGGTAAAAGCTACATATACCAGATGCATTTTTCTCAATAATATGCAGTAAAAATTCACGTGTACACATGTAAAACTGAAAAAAAAAAATGTCTTGTTACTACAAAAAGAACAATTGAGCATAAGCTACAAAACAAACTAGTCTACATAATATGAACCAAACATGTTCTTACTGTGTCTAAAATCAGAATACATTGAGACATTGAAAATACAAAACTCTAAAAGGAAAGATGCACATATCATGTTGACAAAAAAGTCCATATTTTCTTGCCAATTGACACTTCACCATGATGTTGCTCTTCATCACCACTATCATCATCATCATCATCATCATCAAAATCATCATCACCACCATCATCATCATCATTATCATTATTATTATGATGATTATCTTCTTCATTCTCATATTCATAGGTGGTAGCATTAACCTCTTCGACTACTTCTGTTTTCTCAACAATAACCTCTCCTCTTGGTGCTTTAAACTGCAAAAACACAAACACAAATATTCATGATATTATGATCATATTAAATTACTAGTATAAATACAACAAATATATACTTACAGCTGTATCTAATATTTGAGTGTCGACTTTTTTGCTAGTTGCGACATGTACCATGGCTGTGCTGCCATCCTCACTAGTAACTTTTGTTTCAACAACGTTGTTAGTAATCTCATGCTTACTTGTTACTTTTTGTGTCCCAATGCTTCCGGAAACTTCCTTCTTTTTTTCAGAATTAGTAGAAGGTTGAGCTTGAGTGGCAACATCTCCACTGTTATCATATTTCATGATTTTAACCCATTAATTATGAGAAGATAAAAATAATTTTATTATAAGTTTAGATATTTTAAAAACTATTACCGATATTGAAGAATGTATAACTATATAATATCTCATTTCATTCCATTTAATCATGCACCATTCATAATCTCACATTAAAAAACCCATTTTAAAAAAACTTCTAATCTCTTTAATTAAAAAAAAAGTACACAAGACTACTTGCTGTTCAACATACATAAATGATAAAACTATTCACCCAAAAAACACCTTAAAACTTACGTCTTGTGTCGCCTGAGATTATACCGACTTCCTCCTCCAGGAGTCTGCACCGCCACCGGAGCCACCGTCTGCCGCCTCTTCCTCCGGCCACCAGTAACCACACTTTCCGACTGAACTTCACTGTCACCACCATCCATTTCACTTCCACTAACTAAAGAAGTTTCCGGATGCGACCTTTTCCTTCTAGAAGCACTCCCACTCTCCTCATTAACTTTAACAGAATCATCATTCTGGTCAAACTCGGTCAACACATCTTCTTCAACCACCGTCTGCACAGTTTGATTCTTACGGGCCCCACGTTTTGGTTTTCTCGCAGCTTTTTTCCTCCCACTTTTCATTTCCGACTGCTGAGAACCTTCCGGAACTTCAGCCGTCTTGCTTCCTATGTTGCTCTCATCATCAGAAGATTCCGGAAGCTTGTCATGTGTAAGAATCCTTTTGTCATTTTGTGAAACATTTTCAGTCTCAATTGTTTCTTTTTTTTTTTCAACAATATTATCGTTTGTTTCTCGATGAGGGGACAATTTAAAGACTGTTGCGCCTTTTTTGAGCCAAGATACAAGATTGCCCTTGGACTTTTCATTAACTACATTTCTACCCTCGGGAATTTGCAGATCAGAGAATTCGTAACCCCTGATGATCTCCCCACAGCTTTCACAATTCTTGAGTTTTTCTACGAATGAATGAAACTGATTTCTCTCGTTTATGAATTCTTCCCTTTGATTGTTTATCTTTTTGCTAAGAACATCAAGGGCGTTTATGTCTTTACTCATCTCAACTTGGTTTTCTTCTAGCTTTTGATTGTTCAAAGCAATTTCCTTCTTTTCTCTATCGATTCTACTTCTTTCAGATTTCAATTCTTCCATTTCCTTTCTTGCAATTTCCTTTAAGTAAGTGATGTTACTTAATTCTTTTTCACATTCATCTTTAAACTCCTTCTCTTTTTCCTTCATGTTTTTCTCTAATTCGATTCGTTGATTCTGTAAATCCACTTCAAGATCTCTTTTTCTTTTCTCAAAATCATGAACAAATTGTCTCTGTTCATTTTCAGCTTTTTCAACTAAAAGGGTCTCCTCATGCTTCATTGTAGCAGCAAATGTTTCTCTCTCCAATTTCAAAGCTTCTAATTCTTTATTAACATAATCTTGTGTGACAATTTTGTCCTTTTCTAACTTTTCCTCTTCGGATTTCCTTACTTTTTCCCAATTCTCTTTCTGTTCTTCAAATTCTATTAATTCTTCATTAACAACAGCTCTCTTGTCATCTAAAACCTCCCATTCCTTCTCAAATTTCATTCTATCTTTCCTTAAATCATCAACCTCTTTCATGATCAACTCTTTTTGAACTCTGCATTTTTCTATTTCCTCTTTTAGCTCCAACTGTAAACGTGTGTATTCTATTCTTTCATCTTCTGTGATTCTAAGTTTTTCAATCTCTTCATGAACTTGTGCCTCCTTTTCATTAATCTGATTCTTGATTTTTTCAGTTTCAGCTTTCAAAATCTGCAGCTTCTCGATGTCAGCAAGAATTTCATTCTTTTCCATTTCCAACTTTTTTGCCTCCATTTCATAACTTTTCTCCTTTTCCTTTATTGCCCTCAACTTCGTGTCAAGCTCTTTCTCCTTCTCATTGAATCTTTCCAACTTCTTTTCATGAGCTTGCTCTTGCTTTCTTAGTTTTTCCTCTTTATGATTTGTTTCATCTTCTTTCTGCACTAAAGCTTCTATTCTTTTTCTCATTTCATCCTCTAAAGATTTCCTCTTTTCTTCCATTTCCAATTCAAACTCTCTCTGTTTAGAATCCAATGTATTTTTATGAGCATCAAGAAGCTTCTGAATCTCCACCTGCAATAAAGCAAGCATTATTAGTTGAAGACAACTTTTTCTTACATCTAAACAAATTAGAGAAAATTAGGGTTCTTATTTTCTTGTATCAAGATTTCTTATCAATTTTGATCCCTAGAAACTTTCTAATTTCAGTTCTTATTTTAGGGTCTCATATCGATTTTGGTCCTTATTTCAGGGTTCCAGGGACCAAAATCGATATGAAACATTAAAATAAGGACCAAAACTGAAAAAAGTTTCAATTTTGGACTAGAAATTAAGTAAAAGTTCACTCTTTCTTTTGCAGTCAACTTCTCAGTCAAATCAAGCAGTTCCTTTTCCTTGACCTCAAGTTTCTTTTTAATCGACTCAGCTTGCTGAAAGAGAGAAAAATAAAACAAAAACAAAATGACTTTCAAATCATTGACTTTTGAACAACATGATAAACTGAAAAGACAGGTCAGAAACATACTTCCTCTTTTGCAATTAACTCGTCTAATCTTTTGTTTACATCATCTTCTTTCTTCTTTGATGCTAAAATGCTTGATTCAATCTTATTATGTGCTTCCTCAATTTCCTTTTCCTTCAGTTTTAGAGACTTTTCCATTTCATTCAACTTCTCCTCCCTCAAATTGATACTCCTCCTACCTTCACATAATCTCTCTTCACCCTCTTGCAATTTCTTTTCCCATTCCTTTATATCCTCTTTCTGTTTAGCAAATGTAGCTTCCCATGCTTCTCTCCTATAAAAAAAAAGTAAATTTATCATATCATATCAAAAAGTTATAATAAATCATAATAACTTATAGCAGATCATAATTCATACCCTGCATTAAAGGATTGGCGTTCACTTTTGAGCAAGCTTTCATGAGTCTCTAGCTCTTGCATTCTCCTATCCAACTCCAAACTCTTTCTATTTGCCTCAGCAAGCTTTGCATCTGCTTCATACATCTTTTCTTCAACCTCTCTTGATTTATCTCCAATTCCAGCTACTAATGTGTTTGCATCAGCTAAATTGGTCTGAGATCTGAGTTTTATTTGTTTATTCTCTTCAACAATTTCACGTAAAGCCTTCTCAAGCTGCAGAAATGAATGTCATGAAAATTTGATTCATATAAAATGTATGATAGCTATAGAAACTATAAAGATTTACAGTGTAAAGTATAAACATATCAAAGGGATTACATCAGCTCGACAAAGCTTCTCAAGATCTAGTGCTTTCTTCAAGTTATCTGCTCGCCTTTCAACTTCAGATACATCCATCAAATGAGCAGCTTCTTCCCGTTTAACAACTTCTTGTATTTCTGATAATGCTTCTCTAAGTTGCTCAGCATTTTCTGTCAACTCTTTATTCTCAATAAGCAAGAGTCCCATATTATACTGATAGTCAAATAGCTGTAAAAGGAAAGCAACCAATGAGATTCCAATGACATTTTAATTGATTCAACAAATGGTTAAAAGTGAAATTCTTATTCCATCAAAAGGAAAGGAAACAACCAGAGAGAAGTGATGTTCTGTAATAAGTGTCAAAATCAGTGAGTTAACAAATGTTGCGTTTTTTTGAGGGAAAGAAAGGATTAATGTGTTTCAATGGTAAATATTACAATAACCATGGAATTCTTTTTCAATATTGCAACTAATTAAGAGATAAACTAACAAACAATAGTAAAAAGCGAAAAAGATATATTTGGCCTCACTCTAGGTCTAAAGCACAATAAACTTTTCACCTAGAAAATGGTCTCTTTGGCCTCACTCTAGCTTTGACACCAGACAAAAACAGAAAGGTAACCACTAACCAATCAAAGAAAACGTGAATTCTGAAGTTTTGGATATTAAAATGGGATTTTAACGATATATTTGGTTAACATGTGATACAGAAACAATAACAGAAAGGTAACAAACCAAAAGATCTCAGGTGAATAGACTTCACTCGCAAGAAAATAAAAAGAAAACTCCACAATACCTCTTTTTCAAGCCTAGCAGTCTTTTCAGCCAATGCCTCACGGTCCTTCCTCTCCATAGAAGCCTCGTCCAATAATCCAGCTTCCTTAAACGCCCTCCAATCGTCCAAATCGCCACCCTCAGCCGCCGCACTCGCCCCATTCTCAATCAACAACCCCAGCGGCGGCGGCGGTGGAGGTGTCAGATCGTCCATAAACGCCACCGCCTTGCCCTTTCCAGATACATGCTTGGGTGAGTTACCGATCTTTTGCCCACCGGTCCGTGGTGTGATTGATAATGAAGAACGAGTTACTCTCTGCTGCGTCGTAAACATTGGTACAAACAGCAATAACCCCAAATAAAAAAAAAATCGAAGATTGGAAACCTGAAATAAAGGGTTTCAAAAACCCTAGAATCTGGGGATTGAGATTTTACGCAAGCAATAAAGAATTAATGAGAATCCTGTGAGCGGGAAAAGAAAAGGATTTTTTTATGTGGAGAATTTGATAGACAAAACTGCAAAGTGAATCAGAATTCAGAAAGCAACCCGAACTGGAACCACTTGGGAGAAAAAAAAAAAAAAAAAAAAAGAAGAAAAACAAGGACACCCGTGGGCTTATATGAAACGAAAGAGGGTGATTTTTGGTAGTACTTTATAAATATGTGCTCTCTATAAAATATAATTATACAAAAAAAAAATATATTAATAAAACAATTATATTATTATTATTATTTTCGATGAAATTATAATGTTTATATCGATTTGATATATACCCACTTAATGGTCGGATTTAAATACATCGGTTTGAAATAGAGGGCCTTCGACGGACTCAAATTTCATATCAAAAAGACTCGTCATAAAGTGATATTCAAATAGTAGAGTTTTTCACAACTAGACAAGGAATCGTGCTCCTGTTCGCCTCCTAAGAAGCATAGCAGACAAGTTTGTCGAAAGTAGATGGTACCAATAGCCTTTTAAGGTCAATATGTGTTTCGTCTCTTCGGCAACAAACACTATAAATATTATTAAGAATAGTGAACTAGTTGGTCTTTTGGCAGAAATTGTCCTTTTTTTATGGTGGTCTGTCATCTTTTGGCTTTCTTGTTGTGCGTTTCTCTTCTGGGCAGTTTATGTCGTTTTCTACAAAGTTTGTCGACACGTGTTTGTCACGTATTTTGTTCACCGTTTTTTCCAACCAATCACATTTCGATTGTTGTCATTGTTTTCCGATCTTTATTTCAACGACATTTACTTTCTCTGATTCTTCCGGCTTAGTCATCTAGCTACATGTTTTTTCTTGCTCCCACCTCCCATCTAGTGGACATCTTCATCCCCCAATAGTACCACCACTCGACTCTGTCATGATGCCAAGAGTGAATAAGCTTCGTCAACTTCTTCAGGCCACCAACTTTGATTCTGGCCACCAGCTTTTCCGGTGGGTTCTCTCAATTCCTTTGGTTGTTGGAGCTGATATTGGCTATTCGATTTTGGGAATTGCTAATCTTTTTGGATTTTTAGTGCAATTACTTAGGAAAACCGGTACTTCACGCTCTACTAACGACTCATAAAGAAATGATGTGCGTTTTCATGGATTAGAATGCATTTCACATTTTTTTCTAAAGTAACTAGAGTGTGATTTTAAAAGAAGGTTCTAGTACTTTATAGATTATACTTTTAATCTTGATTATGTCCTATCGAACCCGTTCAACTAACGACCCTCCACCACACAGGAGAGCGGTGGGTGAAAAAGACACTCATTCAACGGTCATTTTATAGGTCGTTTCATTATACCCTCTTTATAGTATGACTTCATTAATGAGGCCTACTATTGATTTGACTGACTTTTCTTATACATATAGTATTAATAAATATATATAAGGTGTATTTAATTTTTTAAAAACACAAGGTTTAAATATTAATTATCTAAATTAATCATATAATTAATTAATCAATTTAATCCTATCATGAATTTATAATTATATTTTAATTAATCTTAGACAAAATTGCAAAAATGCTCCCTGTGGTATGCATTTTTTGGGGTTTCAATACAAACCTCGACTTTTTTGGATTCATGGTCATTTTGGCCTAGTTTGTACGTAAAATTAGTCCCCCGACTTAACTTCCGTTAAGTTGTTGCTGTTAACCCCCTCCCACATGAGGGTATATTTGTCTTCTCACTTATAAGGGACCATTTTTGTACCTGAAAAAAATATATCCCTCTTTTTTTTAAAAAAAGTTAATACCTTTTTAATTTTTTTTAATAGTTAAAAGAGGTATTTCTCTCTCTCTCTCTCTCTCAAAACCCTACGAAGAGCATTCATTTCCAACCCTAAACCCGCATTTCTCTCACTTTCTCTCTCTAAAACTGCTACTTCTTAAAGGTTTCTTGAAGGAAAAATGAAGGTGACAAACCCACAATCATCAAGTGTTATAATGGAAAGAACCACCGGAGTTGAGACGGTCTCAACGGCGGCATCAAAGATGGAGGCGATTTACGAGAGGTTGCACCACTTGACCAATGATAACGCAGTGGTGTTGTTTTCAGTGAGCGGCTGCTGCATAGGCCATGTAGCGAAGCAGCTTCTTCTTGGCCTGGGTGTCGGCCCTACGGTGGTGGAACTCGACAGAGAAACAACGGGGGTGGAGATTCATGCTTTACTCTACCGCCTTGCGGCGGGGAACGACCAACAACACCCAATTCCAGCCATCTTCGTTGGTGGCAAGTTTCTTGGAGGAATTGAAACGCTCATTGCTTGTCATATCAATGGCACCCTTGTTCCTTTTCTCAAGGACGGTGGGGCAATGGCTAGTGGAGATGTTCCATGAGGAAAGAAAAGCTTATGGGTCGTCTGTAATTGAGGTTTTCAGGGATATGATAAGGCCTGCTGACGAGAATTATAACCAGAAGGAACTGGAAAAACATCGTTGTTTAATGGCATATCAACACTAATGTCGTGGCTCCTGGCATAGCTACTGCTGATTCCTCAATTGCATGATCTTAGAGCTCCTAAAATTAAAGCCACTAACAGATAAACGGATCCAACAATGACCCAATTCATACCCAATCCAAATAGCAGAAATTAAGCAAACTACTTGTTTCTGGTTCTTATATACAGAGTGGGTGCGAGACTGCGAGTGCGCACCTGGGTGTGCGTGTTTGGATAAACTCATTTGGCCTGTTTTAGAAGCAAAAATATGATTCTGTGAGATGAAATGGGGGACACGTGCAGCTTCTGGTCAAATAATCGAAGTCCGGAATATTTAATTGATATCAATAATATGCATGTAGAACTTTACAAAATGGTGGAATATCTAAATAGAGATAAGAATTTATAATCGAGATTTGATCCTTAAAATCAGGGATTATCTATAATTTCTTTCATGATTTATCTTTTTATTAAGGACTAGTGACGAGAGAGAGAGAGAGAGAGAGAGAGAGACCTCTTTTAATTATTAAAAAATAAAAAGGTATTAATTTAAAAAAATAATAATAATAATAAGGATATATTTTTTTCAGGTGCAAAAATGGTCCCTTATAAGTGAAAAGACAAATATACCCTCATGTGGGAGGGGGTTAATAGCAACAACTTAACGGAAGTTAAGTCGGGGGACCAATTCTATGTACAAACTAGGTCAAAAGGACCATGAATCCAAAAAAGTCGAAGTTTGGACTGAAACCCAAAAAAATGCATACCACAAGGACCATTTTTGCAATTTTGTCTTAATCTTATAATTAAATTTATTATTAAATCCATAAGGATAATTCAATTTAATTACTCTTATAGTTAAATATTATCAATTCAGGATCATCTCATAATATTTAGGGTTTTATTTTTAATTATCTAAGGCATTCAAATTCGGATTTTGGCATAATTAAAACCAAATAATCACCCAAAATAACCACACAACTAAGATTAAGAAGAAAATCCCGAAAATCAGGTTTATATTGATCTAACGTCGTGACTGATAACTTGTCACGTTGTGAGAAACATTTTTTTTCGAAAAAATCAGATATGTTCAATTCATCTCATGTACTTTCAATGTTAGACACACTAAGACTCTGATACCACTAATGAGTTTTATAGGTTATAAATACATGTACAACACAGGAAAACACTTAACAATAAAAAGGTCACATGCAACCTATATGGATCTATGTTATAATACTTTAAAGGCAACATACATGTTAGAAATTTTAGGTATAGAAAGGCTTGGAAATTTTGAGAATCGTGTTAAACACTTTCAAATTAAAGTATTTGGGTGGTACTCCCAATCTCTAATCGGATAAGACTCAGAAAATTGAGAAAACAGAAGAGAGAATGTTCAAGATGTTATGAAGAAGAAGTGTATCAACCACAGATTTCGAATATGATCATATAACCAGAAAAACTTCATGTCTTCAAACTGCCACATGACAGTTTTATGTCCTAAAACTGTCAAAACGTCATAAACCAACTTAAATCCGGGTCTAGAAGATGGATCACAAAACCGGGTACATTTACCAAAAATCTGGATTTCTGCCAGGGGCTCTGCCCCTTGGACCCCGCCAGGGGTTGCCGCCCCTTGGAACCCGCTCCCAGGGGCGCTGCCCCTGGACCCCCCCGTCGGTTCAGGGGCTTCGCCCCTAAATAGCAGTGTACTTTCAACAAAGACAATATTAAACAAATGTGCACTCCGCACCATACCAATTTGTTCAATAATTGTCAAAAGTGACATTGATCAACAAATTAACCCCATTACACTTAAATAACATTAGTGATATAAAATCACAAACAATACATGAATAACAAAACAAGATGAACCCTAATGTAATCAAAATCATGGAATTAGGATTACATTTTTTTTGAACCGGCAAATACAAATATTATAATCTACTCCTAAATTAACACCTAATTCCACCTATGTCCACCACGGGACTTGAACCCTCGACCTCAAGAAGGGAGGGCACCACCTGATACCGCTGGGCTAGAAGCCCTTTGGTGGAATTAGGATTACATGCCTTTGATTGTAGGTGTTGGTCTTGGAAAGCTTAACACCAAAATGATGATGCATCTAATGTCTCGCACCCAAACCCTAGAAACGATGAGCCAATGAGTCATATTTATAGTTATGGATCACAAGGATAAACTCTGATTTTAATAATTAAATATTATATTTAATCTGTTCAAGACGGTTATCCTTATCACCTATAAGGAACATTCTTGAAACCCTAAATGCTTCATGAAACCATCCAACCTAGGATTAATCTATAATTGCTTATTTTGTTCAACTATTGAATAATTACAATTCACACCTTGCATCTTTAATTAATTTTAATTAATCCCAAACTAATTCCAGATTAATTTTAATTGATAATTAATCAATTATTATTGATTTCAAATTAATTTATTAATCATATAAACTAACAAATCAATTACTTAACAACTGATATTATATTAATTTACTAACCACATAATAAATTACCAAACTAATTATATATTTTTAATTAATATATTAACAAATCGTTTATTATAGTTTATTAATCATATAATAAACTAATAAATTTATCCCCTCTCTATAAATATCATTCTGACTAAGTTCTAGTTATGAGGGCAACCCCAAAAGGTCTTTGCTTATAATTATAAAAATATATCAATTTAGTTATGAGCTTATACACTTTAATCCAACAAAAGATCCCTCTATACTTATCCGAGATGCCTACGATATGAAGGAACACTGTTTTTTTTTAAGTTTTCTTCCCATGTGTAACCTCCATTCTCACACTATCATATTTATGGAATCTTTAGTTGATATCTATTACTAATATGATAAATGGTTAAACAAAGTTTGAGTTGTTGATGCGATTTATACATTTATCCACACTGTGTTTCATTTTGTTCCAAATCATAGAGGGATAGTGGGTGCATTATTCAACCCTAATTCCGCCTTCCTCCTTAGAATGATAGGCATTTCCATGGTGCGTGTTCATCGGCAATGTTGTATTCCTCATCAATGTCCTCCAACCCAAGAATGTAATCATCTGCAGCTTCTCATAGTATGTTTAGGAATACGTCTTTACATCTAACATGTGGTTTGATTATAAATTCCTCTTTGTCTTCAATGTCTAGTATCCATTTCTTCATCTTCTTGGTCACTGTAGGCAAATTAAAGTATTCATTCTCACATCCACGCTTCATTACAATAACTAAACCTTGAAGAAACGTGGATCAATCAAATATTTGACCTTTAATTCTACCATTTCGATCAAAAATGGAGACTAAAGTTAAACCCACATTCAAGAGGTCACGACCGATAAAAACCCTAAATTATGTTAAGAATCCTTATATATAAGTTATACAACCAACTGGTTACAAATGTGGTAACAAGGTATTATATCTACTTGCAAAACACTAGCTAATATCCTAAGCTTGTGGTACTTTCTAAACGTTCGACTACGATATTAGAAATTGGGGATGTCATAGGGTATTCCAGACATAGGTTGTGGGCCCAGTGATCATTAATTTTTATTTCTTCTGCTTTGTGGTACTTTCGGTGTTGGCGCATCAATGGAACTCGGAAGACCCACAAACCAGCTGTTTTGGATAACGTGAGCAATTAAGAGTTGTTGGGAGTATCAGTCGTGCATCATAAAGTCTCTACGAAGTGTTTGCATAGTAGATCCCGTTAGTCTGCGAGTTGTTACTAGGGGTTTGGTTACCAAGGTTGGGTATCGGTTATAGAGTCTCGAATCATGAAGTTCATTATGAATGTCTCAAGTGTTTTGCCAAGTGGGGGTACACCTGAGCTGATAAGGTTTGGATGCAAATGTGAAAATTCTTAGATTACTCATCTTTGCTCGTAGGAGCAGTGGCTGGTAATGGCGTGTTAGGGAGTCAAGGGTTTATTTAGGTTTTTGGTACATCTTATGGAGTTGGAATTGGATGAAATTCACGATCGATGTGTTTTGAGTACTTCATTCCGCGTGTTTAGTGGTGATCATAGTCAAAGGCAAGGGGTGGATTCAATGAATGAATGAATATCAGTCCTGGATTATGGGTTATGAAGTTTAGATCTGATGGGTTCCCGGTCTCAGGAAGCATATCGATAGAGTTGATTCGGTGTTTGTAGTTTTGGGAGTCCCCGACTCTGTGATTCTCACTAGAAGTTCGGTCTTATAGCCAGGAAGTTGTGGAATATGATGGCGTTGTACGTGCCTATCTATAGTGGTTATCTAGTTGAGGCTTGTGTTTAAGCCGCCTTGTTTCGGATTAAGGGTTCAACAGTAGTGAATGGTCTAGAGTCCTGGTCCCCGGTGGTATCAACAAGGTAAATCAGGGTCAGAAGGGTTTCGTATGGTTAAGATTGTAAAGAGATATCGTAATAACTGCGTTCCTAGATAGTTTTGCTTGCTTAGGAGTCAGTCGAGGTATTGGATTTCTGAAATTTTAGGAGAGTTGTGATGGTTTCTCCAGTGGTGAAAGTTAGCAAGTCAAGGATGGTATGGGTAGGCAGTTGCCCGAATGAGCCGACCTTTAGTTTAGATCAGGTTGTGGGGAGGACCGTCTGAGTGACCCGAGGTGGAGATATGGAAACACTACCATGGGTTAGTTACTGCAACATACTTCGAGGAAGAAGTCTAAGTCAGTGGGGGAGAATTGTAACATCTTGTTTTGAGGCACTTTCACTTTTGACCCTTATATTGAGAGTTATTGCATTTTGGTCCTTAAAATGTAGGACTTGTGGAAGGGAAGGACTATTATTGCCATTTTTGGAATTGTGGGGCGGAGCCACGTATGCTAGGCGTACATTTGCATACGTTGGGCGTACGGGGTGAAGTCTCAAACCCTAATATTTAGGGTTTGGACCCTATTTATTCTTCATTAACTCTCAAACCTGGTTCCTTTCATCAGCCACCATCCTCTCAAAACGTTTTTGCAAACCCTAATTTACCTTGTGAGCATTTTTGAGATTGAGTGTGAGTGTTTTGTGCCTTTGAAGAAGAAGGAAGGAAGTTGATACCATCTTGGAGGAGTGAAGCACCTTAGATCTAGAATCACACCATCATTTGGCATCTCTTGGAGGTATAAAGTTCTGAACTTGGTGAAGTTATACTTAGATCTTGTTTTGGGCCTGATTTTATGTTCTTTTGGTCCCCTAAGCTTGGTATTGTGAGTAGGGGTTACTCTAATCCATTTGAGTTGTCCTTTCAGAGGTTTTGGAGCCTCTTGAGTCATAAAAATGTAATCTTGAACACTAGTTTCTTCTCATGCATGGTCTTAATGGATTAAGAGGTTAGGGTCTTTGGTGTTGGGCACTTAATGGACATGCAAATTCATAAAGTTGGAAACTTTAAGACTCTTGAGGATATTTTAGCCTTGGATATGTTATTGGAAGCATTAAGTCGAAGAAATAAGGACTGAATGGGTTAAGAAGAGGGCAGTTGCGTACGTTGGGCGTACCGCATGGTACGCAGCGCGTACGCAGATATGGCCTCGATGCCTTGGACGCTTGTACGCCCCACGTACCTCCGTAGTACGCCCCGCGTACGAGGCCTGAGTCAAGTCGACTGAGTTGACTCGTTGACTTTGACCAAGTTTGACTTAAGGGTATATTGGGTATTTTGTATTGTGTTTGAGAAGTGTTCATTGGATAGATAAGTGTCGGTTAGAGCTGAGATTTTGAGTCGGGACCTCATCAACTATTGTTCAGATCGTGAGGTGAGTTTTCCTCACTGTACTTTCGGGTCGAAGGCACCATGGCCGACCCATTGGATTGATATCCTGGTTTATCATATGTTGTTATGCTGTAGTGATATGTTAGATATGTATCCTAGTTTATAGGATGTTTCTATGTGGTAGTGATCTGTAGATCTGTCTGTTTGACTATTAACTAATTATATGTTTATATGTTATGTGTATGTCGACATATTGTGTCGGGTTGAGGTTGTACTGCTTTGTGATGTAGCCAACAAACCCTGGAGTAAGCCAGACATAAGTTGTGGGCCCCGAGGCCAAGCCAGAATTATGATGTGGGCTCAAGAGCAAGCCAGATATGAGATGTGTGCCCGATAGGCAAGCCAGGCTCATATTGTGGGCTCAGGGGTAATCCAGTCCGATGGCTGTGGACCCGAGGGTATTCCAGTCTGATGGCTTTATGTTGTTGCCAACAAACCTTGGAGAAAGCCATACATAAGTTGTGGGCCCCGAGGGCAAGCCAGACTTATGTTGCGGGCTCAAGAGCAAGCCAGATATGAGTTGTGGGTCCGATAGGCAAGCTAGACTCATACTGTGGGCTTAGAGGTAATCCAGCCCGATGACTGTGGACCCGTGGGTATTCCAGTTCGATGACTGATTGGACCCAACATGCTTGTTTGTATATGATATGTGTATTGTGTGTTGGTACTTTGGGGGAAGCTTGCTAAACTTTGTGCTTACAATTTAGTTTATGGTTTCAGATACTTTATAGGATCGTGGCGAGGCGAAGGCGTAACCGTATACATCCTGATTTTTATGTTGTTGGTCTTGGGAGACTCTGATTTTAAATAAATGTTTTGGAAACAATGTTTTGTAAACGCTTTTATTAATAAATGGGTTGCTTTGAAAAGTTTAAATTTGTTGTGATTTTTGGGATGTTACAAATTGGCCACATGTGTTTTAATATTTCTTACTTTCAGTCCCTTTGACCATTTTGACCTTCATTTTGTCCCTTTTCCGTCTATCAATTTGTGTTTCCGTTTGGGCTTCATTTTGTCATCGTTTTCTCATTGCCATCCTTTGTGAATAAAACAAAACGCATTTCAGTAATACCAAGTTCAATAAACATACAAAAACAGCCACAAAGGTGACATGTGGTTCACCACGAGCTCACCCACTAGTTAGGGGGTGTTTGGCTAAACTTATGACTTTTCATAAGCACTTTTCAACTTATAGCTTATAACTTATAAGTTAATAAGTTAGAGAATAATTACTTATAGATTTTGACTTATTTCCTGTATAATACCTTGATAAGTTATTTCTATCCAAACACTATTTTTAACTTATACCGGTGTGTAACTAGTAATAAGTTAAAAAAAGGAGCTTAAATAAGCTTAGCCAAACACCCTCTTAATCATTGAAAAAACCACAACTTTTTATTAATATGGTCAAAATTTAGAGACTTTTCTATAATTTTCTTTTTGATTCTAGTAATACTTTTAATAAGTATATATTAAAACTACAACAAATAAGTTTAATTTTATATTAAACATTTATATATAATTTTACTTATTCATAGAAAAAAAAACATTTTATGAATTTAATCTACATATCAAAGAGGAATCCCCGATTTATTACCGAAAGCAGGTAAGCGTGGAAGTCCGAAAAAAGAACCCTAATCATTTGTCTTTCACAAAAACACAAATAAGTCAACAAACTCCGGTCCCCGTCTTCTCCCTCAACTAATCTACTTGCAGGTTTGCAGTAGCGGAGGAGTATTGCCGGATTATGGCGGCCGATAGTTCTAGATCTTCAACATCATCGGCCGATACGTACATTGGAAGCTTGATTAGTTTGACGTCCAAGAGCGAGATCCGATATGAGGGAATTTTGTACAACATCAACACCGAAGAATCCTCAATCGGATTGCGCAACGGTAACTAATTTGATAAGATCTTGCTTTAAGAAATCTTATTTGTCTGTCCCGATTTGTGTTTTTTTGATTGGGTATTTAAATTAGGGTTCAAAGAACTGTGAAAAAGTTTAAATATCGAAACAATTTCGTCTAATATTTGGGGATTTTTATTGATGTATTATCATCTACGCGTTTTGGTCTCATTGCTGCATTCATCAGTGTTATTTAAAAAAAAACAATAATTTCCTTTCCAAGTTAATTATTTTGTATCGGATCATCTGGCACATCGATTTGTGTCTGTATTAGCTACCAGTTTGTTGATTTCGATGAACTCATTGTGGTTTTTGTACGACTATCTGCAGTAAGATCATTTGGAAGTGAAGGCCGAAAGAAAGATGGACCACAAATCATGCCTAGTGAGAAAGTTTATGAATACATCTTATTTCGTGGAAGTGACATCAAGGTATTATTACATTTGAAACATTGTTAAACCTTTTTCTTGTTATTGCCTCTGTTTCCCATTCATATATCATTGTCATTTCATGGTTTCTGAATACATTTTTTCTTCTGTAAACCATGAAAACATCAAAACAAGATTACAAGTTACAAATTTTTTCATTCTTTTTTTGCAGGATCTTCAGGTGAAAACATCACCACCTGTTCAACAACCAACACAACCTTTAAACAGTGATCCTGCCATTATACAAGTAAGTAGAAACACAACCCATGATATAAATATATAATCTATCATGTATATAAATATAATTCATTAATTCTAAAGACTCTTTGTTTATAAATGCAGTCTCACTACCCTCGGCCAACTCTAACACCTTCAACCCTCCCTGCAACTGCCAACACTAACTCTTTTCTTGACCAAACTACCCCTAACGCACAACTAGGATACCCTGGCATGCCATTATACCAACCAGATGGAAATATGGCTTCGTGGGGCCCATCGCCACCTCCTCCAAATTCCAATTCTCTTCAAATGCCAATGTATTGGCCAGGATTCTATCCACAGTCAATGTATCGACCAATGCAGTATCCCAATTTCAACTCCCCCTTGCCCGGTGGGCTGCCCAACCTGCCCGAATATTCATCTTCATTATTACCAACATCCGCCAGCTCAGCTACTTTACTGGGGTCCACCTTGCCTTCTAGTCTTCCTCCTGTTCCACCTTTGGTATTAACCACTGAACCCTTACCAAACTTTTTACAAACTAATGCCCCTAACACTAACCCTGTGGTTTCTACTACTACTATTACCAATTCCAATTCTACCCCTGATGTAAATGTCAGCATAGCTCCAATTTCTAACAACTCCAATGAGTCACTGACACCATCACTAGTGACACCTGGACAGTTGTTGCAGCCTGAGAAAGATACGGGTGTTTCATTTTCATCATCTCAGTCTTCTCAAGCTGTTGTTCATAAGGATGTGGACCCCACACCTTTGTCAGAAACACCTGTTGAAGCTCAGCCTCCAATATTGCCATTACCAACTCAACCACGTAATGCTCCAAAGGTATGTAACTTTATCTTTTTATTATGCAATGTGTTTTCTTTCTCTCATTGTTTTAATATGTTTCTTTTAACTCTGATTTTTTAGACAAATGGAGCTACTTACCATAATCACCATAATTACAGAGGGCGTGAAAGAGGCAGAGGATCAGGGGTAAATGTAAATTCTTTTTCTTTTCCTTTTTACTCCATATCTTTAAAAAAAAACTTTTACACCTTATTTTTACTAGAATCACCAAATTTACGGGTGTTTTACGATTCAGGGCTCAAGACCAGTTATGAAATTTACTGAAGAGTTTGACTTTACTGCAATGAATGAGAAATTCAACAAGGATGAAGTCTGGGGTACCTTGGGAAAAACCAATAAAATCCAGTTCAAAAGATAGTGATGAGGATGAATTACAAGATGAAAATTATAATGCTGCTCTACCAAAATTGGACGTCAAGGTGAATGAATTTACTTTTTCTTTTTATATAAAATATAATCTTTTTAAAATCTTGAAATTGTATGCTAAAAGATTATCCTTCAATTCAATCAACAGCCTGTTTATAGCAAGGATGATTTTTTTGATACATTATCGAGCAACTCCAGTGATCATCAATTAAATAATGGAAGGACAAGATTCTCTGAGCAGATGAAACTAGATACAGAGGTAATGGACAGATCTCGTTTTTTTTTTGTCAAAAAATAATTTTTTCATCGATTTTTGTTTTATATATTTATTTAGTAATTATTATGACAATGAATTAAAATAAACCTCCACCAAATTATTATTAACTTCTTATTTAACTTATATTACCCCCGCTGTGCGGGGGACCAAACCTGCCAATATACAAAAGTCTAGGGACCAAACCTGCCAATATACGAAAGTATTGTTGACGAAGTCTGAAACACAAAAACTGTAGGGACCAAACCTGCCAATATATGAAAGTCTAGGGACCAAATCTGCCAATATACAAAAGTCTTGTGGCCGAAGTTTGAAACCCAAAAACTCTAGGGACCAAACTTACCAATATACGAAAATCTTATGGTCAAAGTTTGAAACCCAAAAAGTATAGGGACCAAATCTGCCAATATATGAAAGTATAGGGACAAAATCTGCCAGTATAAGAAAGTCTTGTGGGCAAAGTTTGAAACCCAAAAACTCTAGGGACCAAACCTTCCAATATACAAAAGTCTGCCAATATACAAAAGTCTTATGGCCAAACTCTGAAACCCAAAAAGTATAGGTGAAAGTCTTGTGGCCAAAGTCTGAAACCCAAAAAGTATAGGGACCAAAGCTGCCAATATATGAAAATTTTGTGGCCAAAGTATGAAACCCAAAGAATATAGTATTGCTAAGCCAATTGGTTTTGATATATTTAATAATTACATACAACAAACAAATATAATTTAGCATTCTAACAAGTCCGGGCAAAGGACCACTGTGCTAGTTAATATAAAGAGTTGATAATATTTTGATGGAGTTTTTTATTTTATTTTTTGTTTTAGAGTAAATTACATTTTTGGTCCTTGAGTAAAGCAGATTTTTGCAGTTTTGGTCCCAGAAAGTTTTCTCTTGCAATTTTGATCCTTGTTTGAGGTTTTTGTATTGGTCTTTGTTTAGTGCCAGATTTTTGGGACCACAATTTCAAAAACCAAATTACAAAAATCTCAAATAAGGACCAAAATTGCAAGATAAAACCTATTAGGACCAAATTTGCAAGAATCAACCATGCTCAGGCACCAAAAATGTATATTACTCTTTAATTTAGTGCCAAAGGGAAAAATACATAAAAACAACCATAGTCTGACTTCATTGCCATATTATTTAATAAATTGTTATTTATTTATTTGTTTTTTTTTTTAACAAAATGATTAAAAATATCCAACTCAGACGTTTGGAGAATTCTCAAGATACCGATGGGGAAGGGGCGGCCGTGGGCCCTACCGTGGTGGTCGTTCACGAGGCGGTGGCGGCTATTATCATGGAAGGGGATACAATTATGTCAATAGGGGTCGTGGTGGGAGAATCCCTTCCCGTGATTATTAAAGTATTTATTGTGTTAAAATATTGCTTCAGTTTTTGGTTGTTTCTCAATGATAAAAATTGTTGTCATTTGTTAGAATTAAAAGAATGTTTGAATGCAAAAATAGCAATGCACTTTTTTTTTACTGTTTTTTGTTTTTTCTTAATTTAGTTTAACTTATTTGGAATTGGGTATGAGTGATGTAAATAATAATGAGGATGCATGTATTTATGATTTTACTTTTATTGAGTTACAAATTAAAAATACCACATAGGGCATCTCTTACACTATTTTTACTATTTTTTATGTAAAAAATAATGTAAACATCTATCTATTAATTCATGCCTTTTAGTATAAAAGGTGGATGTAGATAATCATCTTACAAGTATATAGAATAATGTTTTTATAAGAGATGTAAAATAATGGAATTCTTCGTAATGAAAATTATGTTTTGTAATTTTAATATAGTTTAGTTTTTCAAACGTGTACTACACGGATATGATAACCTAAGTATTTATATGATATCAATTAATTCAATTATATTATTAAAATTTTAATATGGTATTGTATCAAATATATTTAAAATTTTATATTTTTTAATACTTTCTTTAAATGTGATATAAATGTAACTTTTTATCTGATAAAATATTAGTTTTAATAAATTTTTTTTAATATGAATTAATTATACACGACAACGACACCGACGACAATATAATTTTTAATGTTATTGTAACAAAAAGGTGTAAGACTAATTTCCAAAAATCTGATAATTAAAAGTGATATTGTTTTAAAAAGAATATATTTAAAATATAATTGTAAAACATAATGTATTATGGGAGATTAATCACTATTTGGACTAATTTACACCATTTCTGATGCAAAAAATGATGTTATGGTGGGATACAGTCTTTAGACATTTATTTGTTGGTTGACAAAAAATTATAACAATTATATAAAATTCGTCATCTAAAAAAATTACACTTTGGTTTGGTTTGTATTGTTACTGCAAAAAGAAAAACGTCCGAATCTGAATTTCAATTTTTGTTTCAAATGAACCAGATTTTTGGTTCAGACCAAACCATGGATGGTAGCGAGCAGCTTCAATTTGGTGTTGTTCGGTTTAGGTTTGTTATTTAAATAATATTATTTTTTAATAAAAAAAATGTCTAGTATAAAATAAAATAATTTAAATATTTCAGTTAATGAGGTTTCTGTGTGTTTGTGGTAGAATTAAATTATTTTATCATTGACTAGAATGGATTCTAAAAATAGAAAACTCGTTTCAATACGTAAAAAAAAAAAACAATGGAAGTTAATTGATTTAGACATTTTGATTCAGACTGTACTATTTTATCATAAATTTGTAATTATATCTTTTGATTTGATATCACTCTTTATTTTAATAGTTCAAACTTACGTGTTACTCTAAATGTTTAAGGAGAAAAACGACTATATTAATGTATATCACACAAAATACGTAGTTAAGAGTGGAGGTCAACAATGGAAATACCTACATAGGGCGTGTTCGGCAAAATTAGCTGGTAGCGGGTAGCTTGTAGCTTGTAGCGTTTTGTTAAACGCTACATGAAGTAGCTTTTGGATTTGGAGCGTTTTGTTTAAACTAAACGCTAGAAGCTTGTAGTGCCAAACGAGACTTTCTGTTCAAAACGGAGCATTTTATCAAACGCTAGAAGCTACAAGCTCTCAAACGTTCTCAAACGCTCCGTGCCGAACACGTCCATAATCGGTTCAGGACTATAGGTTTTACCGTTTTGCAACAAGAACTGTCGTTGTGACCTGTTTGGTTTCTAAAGTTTTATAATTATTTATTGTTGTATTATAACAAAATATTTATCAACTATATATCTAAACTACATATATAAAGCATTTGGGTTATAGTTTCAAACATAGTATTTTCAAAGTTGTACAATGTATATTATTATATAGGGAGAATGACACAAATGCCCTACAAAATTTATAGGGTTTGTCGATTCAGTCCCTAAAGTTTTTGTCGGGCTTATGGGTCTCTAAACTAGGATACGACCTGCTCTTTTAGTCTCTGTCAACCTGTAATAGCCGGTTCACCATGCGACAGTGACCATTTAGACCAAAAAAAAACTTACATTGTGCCCCTATAAAACAAAAAAAAAATAAGTTCAGGGATCAAATGCAGTCTCACATTCATCTTCACCCAATACCACTACCATCCTTATTCCACCTTCCTCACATAAACAATACACCATCCATCCATATGTCCAAGTTTCCCGATACTCCATCATGACCGACCCAACCATCATCATCGTCTTCCATGCCCAACAATATTTCCCTGTCTGCTTCATCAATTCCATCGATCCCATGGCCATCATAATCATCATCATCATCATCATCCCTGCAGATATCATCACTGATCTCACCCCTATTGCGGTGAGATCTCCCTCTCTCTTTCATCAATTCATGCCGCCCAAAATTGCATTGTGTTAGAGCTTGGTGATGGTTGCAGGTTTACTCTCCATTGTCTATTACACACATAAATCATACAATACTCATCAATTCCACCATTCCCTTGTCTATAGAATCCTTTGTAAAATTTTAGCTTGTTTTAGTTAATAGTTGCAGACTTTGATATTCTTTTGGAGGCTCGAAACTTGCAGTTTTTATTTTTATTTTTGCTTACTTTGGTTAATACACTGTGAATCATATTGATCATGATAATAGCATGAACTTTGCTTCCAACATTTAATTTGTTATTGTTTTTGATGTAAGCATCTTAACCCAACACCAATAATTGACTTAAGCAACGTAGGATGACCCCTAATGGAAAACATTTTTAACTTTCCATTACGAGAGACATTTTTGAAATTAATTTGTATTTATTTTCCAGCTATTCAATCTTGACATGATACCACCAACTTTCAACCCAAGATACATAAAAGGAAGTGTCGAAGCCCAACACACATTAATAGCTTCCAAAGTCTTTGTAGAACCAAATCACCCTAAATTCAAAATGATTTTAAAAGTTAATTTCAATCTAGAAGCCAGATGAAAACACCAAATGGCGTATATAAGATTCCAGATATTATGCATGTCCCACTCACCCATGAAAAGTGCACCGTTTGCAAGAAAACGGTGTAAAATAAACATGTTGTTCGATCCTAGCCGAACATTGGTAAAAAAACTCATGTAACTTGAACTCCGTCGGATTGCAGACATGCCTTAATTCAACCCATCCAAATACCATCAAACCCCGTAAATATCATCACATGATTTAAGTAATCCCAACTCAGGTTATTGTAATATTTTTCAAAATTCGGTTTATGAAACATCAGTTTTTATTGTCTCGCACATCCAATCAACTATCTCATTCACCATTAAAGGGCTGTCAAGAAGTCGATGTCCTTTAATAAAATGAAACTGCTCATGCTGACAACATCACCCACAACCAACACTAGCCTATTAGCTAACAACTTTATATTGCAAGCGAAATAGACTAATAAGCCTATAATTCTTAACACTTATAGGATTATCTACCTTCGAATGAGAGTAATAAAATAGGAATTACAACCCATTAGAATCACACCCGTATCACATAACTCCTACATAAAATCAAACATGAAACATCCCAAAATTCAGCACAAAAATTTTTGTTTTAAATCATAAATAAACCATAGTTATCAAAATCATTTCATCAAAATATAAGTCATAGTATCTCAAAAACATCATATCAAAAAACACATGTAAATATATTAGAGTAAAATATCCCAAGCTATATATCATGGTGTGTGCAATACAGTAATCCCGGACTCTTCCCTTTGCTACCAGAAGTACCTGAAACCAAAACTGAAAACTGTAAGCACGAAGCTTAGTGAGTCTCCCCAAACTACCACATACCATACACAATCACATAATCACATATAAACATATCGTTGGCCCCGCCCTTTCATCGGCCCCACCCGACATTGGACCGAAATCCGGCATCGGGCCCCGCCCGGCATCGAGCAAAGCTCGGTATACATAATAACATATCAACAATACACATAAAATATAACACCCCGACTCTCAGGTATAAGTTTTAAAGCATTATATACGTGTTTATGGACTTACATGATGAGTTGGTTGCCCCCAACTCGTCGTGTAGAGGCGGGTTAGCCCGCGTGGATTATTGGATCTACTCGACAAGTCGGAGGACCCGGACTTGACGAGTAGGAGCTGGGAGATGAAACCCTAATTTTTAGGGTTTGCACCCTATTTAAAGGACCTTAAGTCCTTACCTCCTGTCCCTTATCACCTCTTGGCGGCCAGAAGAAACCCTAATCGCTATTAACCTTGTTCTTGAGTGTTTGTGAGGCTTAAAGAGTGATTTTGGTGCATTTTGTGAAGAAGGTATGAAGTATAAGAAGCTTGGAGCAAAGAGGAGCTTGTGGATCTGACTCTACTTCATCTTGGCATCATTTTGAAGATAACAAGTCGTTACCTTGGGCTTATCTTTAGCTAGATCTTTTCATGCTTAGGTTTAGGGCCATCTTTAGCATTTTTGGGAGTCATTTCATGTATTAGGGGTGATCTGAAGTTGTAACTTCAGATTTGGACTCCTCTAGGTCCCAAATTCAGAAAGCTATTAGCTTTATCTAGTATTAACCCTTCACCATGCCCTAAACCCCATTCTAGACTTGGTTTTGGTGCTCTAAGCATGTAGGACCTTGCATGCACGTAAAGTTTGCAACTTTACGTGGAATCTGTGCCTTAGGAAGCTAGATCTACAAGTTGGAGCTTTGGAGTAGCTTAAAAACGTCTGGATAGGAAATGGATTGCATGAACTCGACGAGTCGGATGAAGGTTGCCCGAATTTGATTCTGCATGAACTCGGCGAGTCAGTAAGAGGACTCGACGAGTCAGTTAGGGTTTTCCCCGACATTTGGACATGCATGGACTCGACGAGTTGGTTGGAAACTCGGCGAGTCAGTTAGGGTTTTATGATTTCCTGAGTTCTTAAGGAACTCGATGAGTTGCTAGATGCACTCGATGAGTCGGGTCAACATGGATTGTTGACTTTGACTGTTGACTTTGATTTTGACCAAAGGTTGACCAGTTTGACTTGGGGGTATTTTGGTAATTTGGGAATTTATAGAAGTGGATCATTTGTGGATGTAGATGTTGGACTTGGAGCTGCATTTGGTGGAGTTTGACTTTATCACTTCGAGCTACTTGTGAGGTGAGTTCTCCTCACTTTATCAACAGGGTCTAAGGCACCAATGCCGACCCTTATCAG